TCTGGGTCTTTGATGTTTATTTGGCAGAATAAACAACATTTTTAAGGCCATTGCCAACTAAACTTTAGCTCCCTTTTTCATTCTATCTCAACAACATACTATTCTTACCACTGAGTAATCAGGCACATTGGAATTGCCTCAATTGTTATTATTATTACTAGTGCTGTTATTAGTATTAGCAATGTAGTTAAATTTCAAATCTCACAAGTATTTTCTTGAAGCAACTTGTAAATTCCCCAAGGTTCATAATGTGTTTATTTTTTGTGCAGATTAATGCTTTTATTTTCAAAGAGTTATTTACTTATGCACATGAGAGCTGAGGTACAGGCCAGAAATGCAGGAGTGTGAGAGGATTTATCAGAGACAGAGTGGGGAGCAGAACAGGGAATTAACTGAAATATACTGCTGAGGGCAGCAGTGGGAGAGACAGGAAAGGTCTCCTTTTCCATGTGGGTCAGCTTCCTGACCTGGGATCGAGCTTGTGCTGCAGTGGCTGCTGATAGAGTCCTAGTGCTGCGACCCATCTCCCACCAGGGAGGGCCAGGTTGCTGTTTCTTAACCATTACTCCTTTGCTACTCTTGGTACAAGTCTATATATTGAGTATCCTCCTACGTAGACTTTCTCTTAGGCCCGTTGCCTCCTTTTTTTTTTTTTAAATAAATAACATTTTGAGTAGTTTTACAAAGATTTATTTATTTATTTATGCTTATAGAACTGGGGTACAGGCCAGAAGTGCAGGGGCAGTGAGAGGATTCATCAGAGACAGAGTGGGGAGCAGACCAGGCAAATCAATGAAGTATATTGTTGAGGGGAGCAGTGAGCGGGTCAGAATGCTGCATCATGTGGGTCACCTCCTGGGTGGGTCTGAACTCATGCTGAAGTGGCTTTAGAAAGCTGTAATGTGGTGCTTTAACCCATTGCGCCACCAGGGAGAGCCTAGCCAGTTGCCTCTGTTTTTAAAATTTGATCAGCTATTTTTAGGCAGATCTTTCTTACAAAATGGAAGCCCAGTCACTTGCTATAAACAGGAGAGATTTTAAAATAAACACAAAATTATTAATATTTTTTTAAAAGTTTGCCTATCTATTCCTCAGAATACCTCCTAATTGTCCTTTACCACAGATGACAGGCTCCATCCCTTGGGGACTCTGGGGTTGAAGAATATGTGCAGCAAAGTCTTGTTTTGTCTGCCCCATAGCTCTGGGTCTGGAGTTGGGGTGCCCACTGGGGGTGCAGAAGTGAAAGACATAGTCTCTGTGATCCATGAACAGCAAGAACAGAGCAGAGTCACAGGGCCCACCCTTTCGTCTGATTTAGAACTCAGGGTTGGACAGCAGAGTGGATTCTCTTCAGAGGTGGGGCTGCGGGGACAGGACAGCTGTCAGCCAGGGAGAGTTCTCAGCTCCCCTTCCGTCTGTCAAGGTGGGGGGGGTTGATGCTCACTCACCTGCCACATTATCTTGGTATCAGGCTCAAGGTAGACACTGGGCTCTTTAAATGTTACAACCTTCAGGACCACAAAAGAGTCTAAAATGATTCTTTCCAGAGGCCTGCTAGCTTGAATTTTAATTTTCCAAGCTTGAGTTCTTGGGAGCTGCCCTCTCCTCTCTCCTTTAGATGAACTTTCAGCTTGAAATCCCTTCATAATTGAGTCATCTTGTCTGTTGTGATGTTACTGCTCTCCAAATCATCTTCACTGTCCTTGACAGTCTGGGCAGGAGAGAGCATGGGCTGCAGATTGACAGTTTGAATCAGGGCTTTGCCATTTACTACCTGGGCACTGTCAGGTACCGTGCTTGGGGTAGGGAAATAAAAAGACATACCCCACCCACCCACCCCCATTTAGTAGAATCAAAAGGAAATAAACAACTATGGCAGTATAGCGTGATAGGTGCTGAGATTTGAGTAAGCATAAGATGGTATTAGAAAACAGAAAAGGGCATCAGAACAGACCAGGAACATCCAGGAAGTTTTCCTGGAGGAGGTGATGTGTGTGTTAGAAGGACAAATTAGAACATGCTAGACAACAGGGGTGGAGATGAATCAATCTGGACCTAGGAGCAGATTGGAGGTAAGGCAGCCTCAGTTTTCTCATTGTGAAGGGCTGAAGTGGTCTTTAGAGGCTTATGTCAGGGTAAAATGAGTTAAGGCACGAAAATGGCCTGATGTTATTCAGGATACATAATAAGTGACTGTTCACTTGAACCTATTTGCCATTCAACTGTGAACTCACAGCCTGTGAGTCATCCTCACCGTGGTCCTGAGCACAGAGGGGCTTGGGCTCAATCTATTATATGCAGTTGTCCTGGACATACGGAAATTCCCTAGGCACAGACCAGAAGGTCACCGCCGCCTCGGATGTGGGAGCAACTATTCTCTCTGGAAAAAGATATTAATCAAGCTAACAGAGATGCCACAGGAAAGCCCAAGTCGGAAACTTTCCATCAGGACATTTATGTTGAGAGTATTTCCACAGTTACACTTCGTGGGCTTCCTACTCTGAGCTCTGCACTTACTGCCCACTGACGTCTCCCAAAAGTTTAGGATAATGGACTGTGCTTGGCAGGCACCGACAGGTGTCTGTAGAAGCAAAAGCGAACCACTGGAGGTCAGGTACTTGACTTCCTCCCTGGGCATCTTTGTGTGGGTCTCAGTGGGCAGGTGGCACCTCCAGGTGGGCATTACCGAACGCTTCCTGCATTAACTCCCTTCCTTCCTTCCACGAGGATGCCACGAGTCACAAAGGCTGAGGCTGAGCCAGGTGAGACTGTTTTGCATGTTTCTTTGGGTTTTCCTGCCTGCCTCTCCTCCTTACATCCCCCTCTCCACAGGGAGCTCTGTGATTTTGGGCTGGTTGCCTTGTTGCTTTCCAGGCTCCAGAGCTGGAGGTTTATAGCTCCTCTCTTTTGGAGAGAATATTCCCTGCTGTGCCCCTGAGATGACACTGGGGCTCCTTTTTTTTTTTTTTTAAAAAAAAGATTTGTTTATTTATGCTTGCAGAACTGGGGTACAGGCCAGAGGTGTAGGGGTGGTGAGAGGATTCACCAGAGACAGAGTGGGGAGCAGAACAAGCAGATATACTGAAATACACCGCTGCAGGGAGGCAGTGTGTGGGTCAGAAGAGGTCTGCCATGCCATGTGGGTTAGCTCTCTGGCTGGGGATTGAATTTGTGCTGCAGTGGCTTCGGAAAGCTTCATAATGTGGTGCTTTAAGCGGTTGGCTCCTTTTTTCCTTTTATCTGGAGTTGTGATTGAGTGTAAAGGAACTTGGGCTCAACTTCTCTGGGCTAATGGCACCAGATGATCATCTGGAACCACCTATGGATACTTGTGGCTGTCCATTTGTCCCAGTGGCAGACATGATGTGTGCAGGGACATTTGTACTGGCCTTCCCTGGCCAGGCCTGACCATCCAAGTCTCCCTGTGCTGTGGGACGAGAGAGAAGGACCTCATGGACACAGAGCTGCATGGACACAGGAAGTCCAGTAGGACACTTCCCCTTTGTCATGATGGACCGTGGCCCTCAAGTCAGGAACTGCGTGATGCCATCTGAACCTTTGCAGTGGGCATGTTTCATGCACCTCACTAAATGTGCGCTGCAGCACTGCCTCCATTCCCAGGGATGTGAGCTCGAGGTGGGGATGCTGGCACAGCGTGGGTGCTGTACCCTCCATCAGCCTTCTAAAGGGGATTTGCTATCAAGTAGAATCCTAAGAAGAGAAAAGCTCAGGTGTCCATCCCCCAGCTTTGTACCTTAACATAGAGCATGTTAAATACTTTTGGTCACCAAATATTTTTTTTTCTTTTCCCACACCAGCAGTTCTTTGTGATGCCAGCTGGGTGTCTTGCTAACCTGTTCTAACAGTATCTACCTAGAGGCAACAGCAGATCGCAGGCTAGGGGCTTAGTCCCCTAAGTGGCTGTCCCCTGACTTCTGATGCCAATTGCAAGTCTTGGTTGTTACCTGTGCTTCTCACTGGTTACAGATCAGAAGTTCCCACAGCTTCCTCCTTTTGGACCCTCTGAGTCCAATTAATTTGTTAGCATGACTCATGGGATGCAGAAAAACATGTTCACATGTTTATTAAAGGATATGAGAAAAGATACAATGAACAACCCCATGAGGAGGTACACAGAGCCAAGTCTGCAGGGTCCCAAGGGTGGGGACTTCTGTCCCATGGGATTGGGGAGCATCACCCTCCAGGTATGGGATGTACTCAGCAACCCTGAAGCTGTCCAGATCCTGTGCTATCAGGATTTTTATGAAGGCTTCATTACATACCCGTGATCAGTCCTTAACTCCACTTGTAGCTCTTCTCCCTACCTAGAGAATGGGGATTGGAGGCCAGGCTGAAAGTCCCAAGCTTCTAATCAAGGCTTGATCTTTCTGGTGACCAGCCCCATTCAGCAGCACACCCAGAGTTGTCTTACTAGAACAGAGCACACCCTATCACTCAAGAAATGACAAGGGCTGTTGGGGTCCTGTGTCAGGAACTGGGACCAAAGACTTAAATGTTAGGAAAAAAGGTGTTCCTGGTGCGCTCATTACTTAGGCAATGCCAGAGGATTAGGGAGCTATGTTCTAGGGATTAGGAATGAAGACCAACACATATTTCTTCTTTCCAGTCACAGTGTCACAGGTATCTGCTCTTCTTCCCTATCAGTCTGGCCCTGGTCTCAGCGGCCAGGTCACAGTGGCTTGGAAGTAGTGGTCCTTGTTACCCTGCATGCTGATCTGACCGCATCCAAGGTGCCTTCCAGGTGGGGCAATGGGGAGCTAACACATAGTTGAGTGTTTCTGTCCTCTATCAGGTGTTCCTCCTCTGTTCTTTGCCTTTATTCTATCAACTTAATGTGCCTTGGGCCCCTTGGGTTCGCAGGTTTGCTGGTGTAGCTGGAAGGAGAGAAAGATACAAGAAACAAAAGCTGGGGCCTTTGTCCTCACAGGTGCCCTCCCTGTGCTCCCTAACTTTGACCACCTATGTTCTTCTCCTCACAGGTTCCCCTGGCCACTCCAGCGCCACGTCCCTGAGCCCGTCGGCAGCCCTGTCCACAGGGAAGCCCATGGATAGTCACCCCAGCTACACGGACACCCCAGTGAGCGCCCCGCGGACTCTGAGTGTGGTGGGGACCCCTCTCAATGCCCTGGGTTCTCCGTACCGAGTCATCACTTCTGCCATGGGCCCACCCTCAGGAGCACTGGCAGCCCCTCCCGGGATCAATCTGGTTGTCCCACCCAGCTCTCAGGTAGGTGTTCTTCATCTCCAAGGACTTTCAGCCACTCACAGTGTCACACAAGCTAACCCTGCAGCCAAGTCAGCACACAGCAGGCCAGGATGCTGGCTGGAGAGTTGGGGGTCTCTGTAGACCTCTCTCTTGCAGGACCTTCCAAGGGTGTCCTCACGTGGGCAGCTCCTTTGGTAGGTATGGCCTCCCTTTGTTCTCAGTTTAGTGATGACTTTTTATTGAGTCAACATGGTGCCTGGTGCTTTATTACATGCTCCAGAGGACACAGGAATGGTCAGGCCTTGGTCTTTGCTCTCCAGGAGCTTATAATTGGGAGGGAAAACAGGCAGTTGTGCACATGGATAAATCTAGAACAAGGTAGCCTATGGTATGTATGTGCCACCTCTCAGATAGAGGCAAAGCCTGGGGGATGCAGGAAGGAAACCTCACTGTCATACTAGAGCCTTCTGCTAAACCAGAGGAGAGTTGTGTGCATGGTAGATTCCATGTGACTGCTCTGAGGCACCCAAACGACAGCCAGCACCCTTTCCTTCCCCTGGCAGGTCACTGAGTGAGTACCCTGCCCTCCTGCAGAGCTCCGCTATCTGTACAGTTGCATAACACTCCCCAGAGTATCCTGGCCTACAAAAGGGCACACTTCTTTTTTTCCCTCACAGCTCCTGTGTTGGCTTGGGTGGCCAGGCTGTAGGCTTGGGTAGCCAGACTACAGGAGCAGCAGGGACTTGGGGTGTGCTTTCCTCATGGCATCTCACCGCAAGGCAAAAGGCCAGACCTCCCCCATCCCACCACATATTTTGGTCCTTGTGAGGGTTGTCAGTGCCTCACAGGAGATTCTAATTGCCTCACCCCGGCCTGGCTGAGCAGCACTAAGTCTGTTCAGATCCTTCACCCCACAAGTGAAGTAGCTAAGCTCAGTGAGCTCAAGTGAAGTGTCCAGTGTCAAGTAGTCAGCCAGCAGCAAAGCCAGGCAAGGGCCCAAGTCACCTGCCCCAGGACCTGTGTTTACCTCCTGTGTCGGGAGTGTGCCAACTTAATCATGGACTCCTGAGCCTCCTGTTGGTTCCAAGGATTAAAAGAGAAGTCAGTGCACCTCGGGAGCCTGCAGGGAATGTAGCGCCTCCTGCAGACCAGCCACAGTGCATGTTCTGTGCGTGCCTGGGGTGGGGGGTGTGGAGGCAGAACCATGGGACACACAGCGGGACCTCCGAGCCTGGTCACGTATATCATGAGGGTGCCAGTGCTCAGGCAAGGGGCTGGAAGGCAGTGGGGATGGATGTGGATATAGCTGTGATCATTTGGCGGGACCTGACCCTCCAGAATGAGGGGGCGGGTTGCTTGGATAGTCACTTTCATGCAAATGGCTCCAGGAGGGCAGGTTTAGCTGAGGTCAGCTTAAGACAGAAAGGTCCGTTCACTTTATGGGTCTTCACACTGGTTCCAGTGAGTACCTGTGAGGACTGGCTGAGTACAGAGACAGACTGGTGATACCCTAGGTTGGGGTGTCAGCACTGGAAAGGGAGACCAGTGTTTGTCCTGGCATCAGTGACCCTGTCGCAGGCGAGGCAGAAGCCAAGCAGATGAACAAGATAGTTTCCGAGAGTCATCACCATATCCGTGAAGAAATCAAACAGGGTGAGGGGAGAGTCGGTGAAGGGCTGGTGGGCAGGCAGCAGGGAAGACACCGGTTCTCCCAGGCGGCATTTGGCAATCACGCTCTAGTCTGCTGCAGCCAAACCTGGCCAATAAATTTGTCTTTATAGCCTTGTGAGTGGCGGAGCCGCTATTCCTGGACCATATGTCTGTACAGAGGGATTGAGGTTGAAAGGTCAGCTAAAAGCTTTGGTCCTGGCCAACTGGGCTGTGTGCTGAGGCCAAGTTTGGCTTGGGGAGCTATATTAAGCTTGCCAAGCCCTGGTGAAGCACGGCGGCCTTGGACGCTAACCGGTGCTGTGGGCCTGGGCTCCGGACCCGCACGGCCACAACCCTTTGCCTGGTTAGATGGCGGAGGACGGAAGCCCCCAGTGTGAGCCACGGTGAGGTGAGTGGGACTCTGGGCCCATGCAGCCTGCCGACCTGGCCAGGACAGAGGGTGAGGGGACTTGTGAGGGGGACATTCTCCCTCTGTGAGCGGGTCTGGGTGGGTATGACCTGGGGCATGGGGGGGGGGTTTGGAGGGGGAAAGGGGGACTTCTGTACTGTCCTGCATCTGAGCTTTTCATATTGCTTTCGCTGGATTTTCAGTCTCGAATAGTAAAGACTGCTGAGCTAAGAATTTGGAGGCAGACTGTATACCCTTTCATCAACCTTTTTAATATCTTATTTTTATCTTGTTCCTTTTTCATTGTTGTGGGGTGACAAATATTTGCCCTGATTATCCTACCTGGATTTCTATGAATATCAAAGGAGATGTGGCTTTGAAAATCATTCCTTGAGGATCACAATGCTCTAGGGCAGTAGGGTGGAATTATAATTATTATTACTGCGGTCATTACTGTATTTAGGTGATATTGTATGCATCTAGGTAATAGCAATTCAGGTGTACTCTGTTGCTGAAAGATACTAGAGAAATTCATTTCAAAGAGCATTCATTGAACCAGGCACTAGAGATTTTAAAAAAGAACTGTAAGACGTAGCCTTGCCCTGGCAAGTATTTAAGCAGAGTGAGCAGTTTTCAAAGACATCAAATATCCAAATATATAATTTGGGAAGGCATTTGTGCAACGTGCAGGCAAAATTGTGTAGGCCACATTTTCCTGAGTGTGTGAGTGTTTGTGTGTGTGTGTGTGTATGTATGTGACTACAACATTAGATATTTGTATATGTGTTGTTTTGTTGTTTGACTGGACTGAAGCAGTTCCCATAGATCTTTGGAAGGCTCCTTACTTCCATTCTGAACCCCACTGCCTGATCTGAGTTTTGTCCCTGCTACTTCCTGCTATGGTAGTGATTGACAACTGTATTGTTATCCTCTCAGATGTTTGTATTTTTATAAAGAAGAAAAATTGCTAGTGCTAGGGCTGAGATAGACCTCAAAAATCATCTGATTTGATGATTAAAAAAAAATAAAACTGTATAGACTTCTCTCCAAATTAAAGTATATTTGGAAGCCCAGTACAAATGTCAAATAAAAACATCTGGTTGAACTGGGGGCAAGAGATGTGCATTCTTCTTGTTTAACCTCTCCATACACATACTCTGAGTTTGAAACCCCTCATCTGGTCTGTAGATGGGGAAATGGAGTCCCTAAGAGAAGTGATGAGGTCAAGATCACACCTCAAGGAAGGGGCAAGTCTAGCCTGGACCCAGGACTCCTGCCCTTGGTTTGAGATCCAGGTTCCTTACTCCTCATGGCAAAGGCCCTCACTGGCTTGAAGCAGTGGGAAAGGAATACCTACTTGGAGCCTGACTGACTGGCTACAAATCTGCCTTTAATGGAATAATTTGGGATGTGAGCAGCTCAGAACTATAGACTGATGTTCTGTGATGGCTCCAGGGCTTCCAGGATGCATGAGGTCCCTGGCCTTGTCTGTAAAGGGCAGCAGATGAGTCAGGTGTGCTTCTACAATGTTCTCAGGAGGCAGAGTTACCAGGTGAGGCCTGCTCCAAAGTGCTCCAGTCAGCGGGCTGCTTCTAATGGAACAAGACAGCCAGCGCCGGGGGCTAGGGGCCAGCAGCTAATGGGTTCATGCTCAGTGCTGCCTTTCATCCCGTCTGTAATGTTCTGTGTCCAGACGAGAAAACACCAGCCCACCTCTGCCGGTCACGTGCTCCCCTGGCATCAGGCCCATGAAGAGGTATGTTGGGGAGTGCTGTCAGTTTAGACCTGGGGGTCTCCTCTAGGGCTTCCTCACCAAGGAGGAAGGTTAGGAAACTTAGGATAGGGAAGTCTGGGGTGTCCTCCCATGCAGGACAGACAATGCGGTGAAGAAGGCTTGGTAACCTAGCCCAGCCTGTTAATCTGGAGAGTGCCTCCTGGCCTCCTATGAGGATTAAACAGCTAATTAGCAGAGAGAGAGCTGTTCTCATACGATAGTGCTCACAGCACCAATAATAGTAACTATGGTCTCTTTTGGCTGTGGCTGGGGGTGATAGAGCTAGGCCCGCTGGAGACCAGAGTGGGGGGGGATGGGTGAGGGTCCTTTGATTCCAAAGTGGCTTCTTCCTTTTTGCCATAAAGTTTCTTGTCCATCAGAGTCATGGTCAGCCAGAGGAGTCTTTGGGGTCATCTGGCCTCAAATACTTCCATTTCGTAGAGTAGAGCTATTTCCTATAAGCACTCAGAAAAGTTGTTGCTTCCAATTCATACTGACAGAAACCCCCTCATCTAACTATAAAAAGCTAACAGACATCTAAATCCATCGTCTACCTTGAGTAATTTCCTGACACCTCCCATGGAATTATTTCATCCCCTTGGTGGATCTAGTCTCATGTATAGCAGGATGCCCAGCCCACTGTCGAGTAGTCGCTCACAATAAACACTGTCCATTCTTGTCTGAATTAACCATATTTTACTGGAATGAACAGAGGTGCCATTTATGGAGCACCTGCTTTGTACTGGAGAGTCACATCATGATCTCATCTAATTCTGCCAGCGACCGTACTAGTGAGCTATTGCATTTTACAGACAAGGAACTGGAGTGTCAGAAAAGATAAGAAACATCTTTGAAGTCATGCAGCCTTTAAGAGCATACTGGGGGGGGGGGTCAATCCCAGGTCATGTGACTCCAGGGCTGATCTTTCAACCATATCAGTGATTCTCAGCCCTGGATGCACATTAGTGTTACCTCATAAGGTAAAAGCAATAAGGTCAGTGGTCCTCATTTGGATGTGGGAATCTAAGCTTCAGTTTTCTCAATGCTCCCAGCTAAACACCCAGGGTTGAGAACACCAAACACACCAAAACACAATCTGAGACACGAGTTCTGGATGACTTGTTTTAGTCTTATATAAAAAAGCATGGGGAGAGAGATAGACTCTCCACCACATAAGGGTTTTCACACCTCATATCAATTTTTAAAAATTCCCAGTGCTCTGATTTCAAAGCAAGGAAGATTGTGTCTTTCCTCTTTTTGCATCCTTCACAGCATTTAGCCCAGAGTCCCTGCCCACCTCCAGTGCTCAATAAATATTTGCTCAGTGAATTGAAAAGCTAGTAAGTAGAAGGAACCAAAGAGGCTTGTTGTGTTTTATGTTTTATTGATCATTCTTTCTGTCTCAGAGGCCTCAGATAGAGTAGAAATCCTACCCTTTCTCGCTTCACTTTGAGTATTACAGTCTTTTTGGTGAGGCAATGTGATTCAGAACTCAGGTACATCACACAGATACCTCCCTGAAACATCCAGATACTCATCAGATGCCTCTAACTGGACATTTACACACATGTCTACTTGTAACCCCCTTTGTTGAGTTGAATTATATGTGTCCTTAATTTTGGTGCATTCTGACTCCTCTAGGAGATTGTGCTCTTTTGAGAATGAGAGATGGATCTTCCAGATTTTATTTCTTCCTTCTCAGTCGTTGGGAAGTTGACCATGGGCACTCAGAGATACTGTTGATTGGTTGGCTGTCTCATATTTACTTAACTTCCCTTTGGTGAATACAGAACAGGTTGTGTGTGTGTGTGTTTTTTTTTTAAAGATTTATTTATTTGTGCATATAGAACTGGGGTACAGGCCAGAGGCTCAGGGGTGGTGAGAGGCTTCACCAGAGACAGAGTGGGGAACAGAACAGGCAGATCGACGAAGTACACTGCTGAGGGGAGCAGCGGGCGGGCCAGGAGAGGTCTGCCACGCCATGTGGGTCACCTCCAGGGCAGGCGGGGATTGAACTCATGTGGAAGTGGCTTTAGATTCCCAGTGCTGTGCTTTAACCTGCTGCGCCACCAGGGAGGGCCAGGTTGTGTGTTTTTTCTGTCATCTCCCCAGGAGCACTGTGGGGTGTAGGGTGGTGAGTTCCATCTGGCCATGTGCCCACTCCATGTCTGGCATGGGCAAGATGAAGCACAGAGTCCCTGGCTGTGTGATTTTAAACTTTTACAGGATGATCATCTAGTCCTTAAGAGACAAGTTCAGAAACCAATCTGGGGCTTTTTCACCAGCTTTTAGTACCACTGCAGTTGGTTTAACATCTTCAGTGGGGCTATGGAGATGACCATGACATGAACCTTCTCTTCTATTTGACTGTGATCTCCTTCAGAGAACTCACCTTAACTTACCTCTGCACCCCAGGGCCTGGCACAGAGCACTTGGTGAATGTTTTCTGATTGACTAAATGAATGGACTTGTATTTTTTTTTTCTCTTGGCTTTCTTGGAGTCTAAGTCTCTGGCCTGAGGCCTGTGGCCCTTCTTGGAGGACTGCAGTCAGTAGTTAATAGAAAATTTAAAAACACGCGGCTGACATGTCCTCAGTGTGCCATTCAGTGAAGATTTCCAGCTCAAATAAAACTCTTGAGTCAAATGAATAAAAGCACTGCACTCTGGTGGACATGTGTTGTGACTTCCAGTTTTGGTTTTGTCTTCTAGAAATGATTTAGAAGACACAGTTCCTCTGTGCCACTTTTTTCCTCTCTTAAGTTTCATATCCCATGTAGACAGTTTAGATACTCTGCATTTGAAACTACTTCTCAAAATACAACTTCCTTTTTCTCAAGGATGTCCTTGATGCTTTCGGCCTCTGGGATTGGGTTTACCCTGGTTTTGTGTTTTATTGTATATTTTTCTCTTGCAGCTAAATGTGGTCAACAGCGTCAGTATTTCAGAGGACATCAAGCCTTTACCGGGGCTCCCTGGGATTGGAAACATGAACTACCCAACCACTAGCCCTGGATCTCTGGTTAAGCACATCTGTGCCATCTGTGGGGACAGGTCCTCAGGTATGAGCAGAAGTAGTGTCCCTATAAGGTTCCAGGAAAGTTCTTGCTCTCCTGTTCACGTGGCTACTTTGTTCCCCTGTGAAAGAAAAAAAAGGGCCTTTAGAATGTTCTAACTGGGGACTAGGCTGTCATTTTCTATCACTGGGCTCACAGCCTGCTGTCCTGGTGAATTTAAAGTATGATTTCATTTTTGAGGATTAGATTTATAGGCTACATATTGAAGCCCCTGTCTGGAATGATTGTATTGCTGGAATAGAAAAGTTATATGATTAGCAAGCATCTCAAACCAGAGTTGCTTTAACATTTACAAAATTATTTTTAATTCCTTACAGAATGGTGTTCCAGAAGTACTAGAAAAGTACAAAAGCAAGCCTAAATTTATTTATAATGTCCCCAACAAAGATAGCTCTTTAATAGTTTAACGTAACTCTATCTAGAACATTCTAGTTTTTAAACATACTTCCATGGGTACATAAGTATGTTTTTAAAGCTTCTTTGAACCTTTTCCATTTTTACCCAGATTATTATTTTTTTCTCTTCCTCCACCCCAAGTCTCCACCCCACCACTTTTAATGACATTTGAATCACTGATTTAATGGGAAAATGGTGACTTACCCATGAGGGCTAACTGAATTTCCTCACCTTTTTACTGTCACCAACACCAGTATGAAATGTCACTCCTCTGAAAGTTCCAGGTGCCTGGAACTTAGCTACATGGCTGATATTTGCTTGCTCTCAAAGAAGGGTCTTAGAATCATGCAGACTTGATCACAGCAACTGAAAGCCAGCCATACCTTGGCAGTTTTCTGTGTTGTGGTATAGTGGGAAGTCTGGGTGGCTCACTCATACAGCCATATGCCACTTTATGGTAGGGATATGTTCTGAGAAATTGTCATTAGTGATTTCATCCTCGTCTGAACATCATAGTGCAATCACACACCTACACTGCATGGTGTGGAGAATGGGAACCCCATGGTATCTGCGCTCCATTGTTAACCAAAACGTAATTGACCCATGACGGTATGTTGAAGACATCCACCATGGGAATAGGGGAATGACAGGCTGGTTTCATGTTTCTCATTGAAAATAATTTAAAGCTTAAAGCATTGGATTCTTTGGCCCAAGGTAAAATTGTGTACTCATTATTGCTGTGAGTTCAATAAATTTGTATTAGCAAACTTGTATTGTAGTGAGTAGGCACAGGCTGGCTTTTCATCAGGCAGGCTATGTTTAGCCACCACTTAATGTCAGAGCTGCTTCCTCCACAGTGTAAGCTCCCATGATGCAGAGCGCATACTCTCAGGGACTTCAAATTCACTTTAATACCAGCTGAAATACACCAAATTAGAAAATTTTATCAGGCTGGTGGCGCAATTCCATCACATGTTACATTCAAGAACCAGACATAAACATGGCTTGAATGATTTTTCTCTCTCTATTTTTTAAGATGCACGACTCTAGTCAGTTGCACTTAAATGTATGATGTGGCATTGAGGAGATTTGTACTTAGAAAGGCCTTGGGATTCTCAATGACTGTGCAGAGGTGGGTGCGGTGGCTCTCTTGACAAGGACCAGCCATCCCTGGCGGGGGTCACTGAAAACAGGACGTGTGCAGCAGATTACCAGGGCCATGAAATGAGTCAAGAGGTTATTTTGGATCAAGCCAAACCAGCTTCGTCAGGTCTTTAAGTCATATCTCAAGAATACATGTCCTATTGTGCTATAAAGATCATAAACCAATTTATTTTTCTGAAGATAACAGTATTTCAAAAATTTAGAGCTTGGACTCTGTTCAGAGTTGATGTGTTAAGTAGGGTTCCTAAGTCCTTCAGCCTCAACTATGGGGAAATATTAGTGACGCTGGGGTTCTTTTCCAGCCAGGTAATACATAATCAGCATAAATATTTTTATTTATTATGCATGCTAATGCCCTGCAGGAGGCAGAACACTTTAATTAATTGATGAAATAAATGAAAACAAAATCTTAGGTTAGGAATTTTCTAATGATGCTCCTGGAGTTGGCTATTCTAGTGATGATCTTCCCGAGGGAAGACCGAAAGAAAGGTGTAATAATTCTTTCTGCAGTTTGGTTCCTGTGATTGAGGCTTCCTTCTCTACGGTTGATTCCTCACTTCCTGTCCCAGTGGCCAGGAGGTGTGGCAGCCTTCCCTGGGGGTATTTGAGTGAAAGGCCAAAAAAGCACAAAGAACCACCTATGGAATGTCCTTTCTTTTGTGACCAGGGAAGCACTATGGTGTGTACAGTTGTGAAGGCTGCAAAGGGTTCTTCAAGAGAACCATCCGGAAGGACCTTGTCTACACATGTCGGGACAACAAGGACTGTCTCATTGACAAGCGCCAGCGCAACCGCTGCCAGTACTGTCGCTACCAGAAGTGCCTTGTCATGGGCATGAAGCGAGAAGGTGAGGCTGCCCACTCCCTCCCTCTGCTCAAGGAGAGCAGGTGGCATATACATGCGGTGGGAGGCAAGTGCTGAGGGTAGGAAAGAGCCCTTCGAGGCTGGTATGTAGGAGGGGGAGGGAGAAGTAGAGCTGGAATGACTGGGTACCTTGGTTTCTCAAGGGTGGCAGCCGAATGTCTCAGTGCAAAGGGGACAGGAGCATCTTGCTTCTTCGCCTTCGCCCACCTTGTCCTCCAACTCAGATGATGCCCCAGACGGGAGCTGCTCCCTTGCTCTTTCAATGGCCAGGCAGCAAGTGTCGGAGCTGAGGTTTCAGGGTCCTCCTGAGCTGGCCTACAAATGGAATGTGAGCTTCCCTGCATGCAGCTGGCTTCTCCCCCCTCTCTCTTTTTAAAAGATTTATTTATGCATACAAGACCTGGGGCATAAGCCAGAGGTGCAGGGAGTGAGAGGATTCACTAGAGACAGTGGGGAGCAGAACAGGCTGAGCTCCTGAAGCACACTGCTGAGGGAAGCAGCAGGTGAGTCAGGAGAGGTCTGCTGTGCCATGTGGTCACCTCCCTGGGTAGGGATAAAACTCAGTGCTTGGAGTGGCTAGTAATAGCTTGACAGTGCTGTCTTTAACCCCTGGGCCACCAGAGTAAGCCTCTTCTCCCTTCTCTTAATCTAGATCTCACTAAGGAGAAACCTGTTGCATTGTCCTCTTTCTGGAGCTTTATGACCTCGGTCTGATTGGTGTATCCCTTGGTTTTGGGGGGTTAATGGCATCCCCAGTAATCATCCTTAACGCTCTCGTTCAGCCCAGCTCTGTGCGTTTTTAAACCCTTACATCTTTCAGTTAACAATGTGGATTAGCTTTCATGTGGACTGTGACTGAGTAAACAGAAAATCTGAAAGTGCTTTCTGCTCATTTGTAAGGCTGAAAAGTCTTTCTGCTAAATAACACAAATAAATTGGATCAGGCAGTTAATTAACAATTGAACTCAAGCAGGTACATGCTCTTATTAGTGACTCTTTCAGAGTAAGGAAATCCTGCTTCTTTGTAGGAAATAGGAACAGTCATTTAGTAAGTCCTCAGTGACTTCATTCTTGAACTTCTTTTCTGGGAAGAGGGAAAGGACAATGCAGGAAAAGGTCTTCGAGCCCCTGCTAAGAGAGAACACTTACAAGAAGATAGCAATGATGTTCTTGGACCTTAGCAAATCTGAGGTGGAGGTGACCCTCACAGTGGCTGACCTTCACCATTCTATAGTAGAAGAAACAGACCAGGGCCAGAAGCAGGCTCTTCCTTTTGGATCACAACTCAGCTTGAGCCGCCTTTCCTGCAGGGGACGCAGGAGCTCTGGGATGCAGGGCAGCCTGAGATGGAACAGGAGCCTCTAGTGGACAGCTCCAAGCCTGGGACCCCCACAGTCTCCCCTGCCCTGCAAGTTCATCATATGGTCCTCTTCATTTTAGAAGTTGGCCATGTTTTAGTTTGCTCAGACCAAACCCCACCTTTCAGACTCCTCTCTTTCATATACCATACTCCAAGGGTGAGAGGCTCTGGGCTTGCCATCAAGATGTGTCCAGAATCTTTCCATATCTCACTACTTCTATGGCTACCCCTGTTATTCAAACCAATATTAACTTTTTTGTAACATTCCAAATAGGTTTCCAGAAGTCTTCTTGCTTCCATGTTTGTCATATCATTTCTCTTAACAGAACAACCAAAGTGAGACTTTGTGAACAAGAGGGTCAGTTCATACCCTTCTGCTACAATCCTTCAGGCCTTCCCTCCTAGTCCGGAAAATGGGCAAGACCCTGATTACATCTTCAAGGTTGTACCTGGTCTCACAGTCCCACTGTATCTGTGCTCCAAGCTTCTTGGTTTTTGTTCTGGGCTGCTAGTAGCTTTCCCACCTCAGGATTTTTGCCCTTAATCTTCTGTCTGCTCGGAGTATTCTCTCTTGAAGTATCCGCATAGCAAGTGTCAGCTCTTCCTTCAGACTTAAACTTGATCATCACCTTCTTGTAAAGTCCCACTGGACCACACTCTAAAATTGTATCTGCCACCCCTAACAATTCCTAACCTCTTCCCCACAGTGCTTACGCTATCTCACATATTTATTTTGTCTCCTGTCTTTCATCAAGAAGGCAGGGTTGTATTCTATATCACCACCTCCACTGCAATAGCAACAGTAACTAGCACTGAGTAGGCATAATAAATATTTTTTAAATGAATGGGCAGATGGTATATTTATTTTTTGAATCAATAGATGATTTAAACTGAATATTGAAATCAAAAGCTTTAGGCAATGGTGGAGAGCCTAAAAAATCATTCATTCATTCATTCATTCATCCAATACTAAATGAGTACCTGTTTTATGCTCAGGTCATATTTGCTGCAGAGGGGTGGATGAGCATACTGATTAGAACCTGTGATGTGAAAAGTCAGTTTGTGGAAGTTGTCTTCTCTTCTGCAGGATATAATTGATACTTTCTGTTGTTTCTGCCACCGTGACAGTCAAAACAGAAAATCAGTCACCTCAAAGAGTGTCTTTCAGCAGCAAGAGCATGACTGCAGCAGGGGTCATTATTTCCCCCCTCACAGAGTATAAAATAAGTTTCAAAGGAACTTAAAAAAAAATAATTTTCAGAAAGAAAAAGGAAAAGGAATTGTCCATAAGCTCATGAGGCTTGAGCCAAAGAGGTGGTCATTTCTGCTCTTGCCAGTCTGAAAACTCAGGCTGAAATTCCCCAACTCCAACAGGGTCTGTGCGGTCGCAGGTCAAGTGGCCAGAAGTCCTTGCTTTCGTCTAAAAACAGAAGAGTGAGAACAGGGGCGTGTGGGCTGGAAGAGCGTGGGCTGTCCTCCTGTTCAATTAACAGTGTTCTGATTCTGCAATAGAAAAATGAGTCCAGTTCTGAGTTCTGCATTGCTAAACAGAATGTGGAGAAATGGAAGAGATGAAAAGCAGAGTGATAAACATTAGGAGGGAAAAGAAGAAATTGCTGAAGGAATCAGTACTGTTTACCCTGACGAAGAGAAAGCAGGGAGATAACCCATTCCTCATCTCACGCCAAGAAATGCCAGTGTCACGTGGCTCCTGGACAGCCTTCCCTCCCCACTATCATTTCGAGCCTTGCTTTAGAGAGCTTGCGGATCAGTTTGAACATCTTCCTGAGGACAAAAAGAATAAAATCCTGGAAAAGAGAATGGACTATGAAATTTGCATTGCTAGAGAGCTGAGCAGATGGAAAGATGAAGATGGGTCAGGCTTAGAATTCACCTGCCAGGAAGGAGGGGCCAGACCCCCTTGCCTTCACAGCATACATAATGCTGGGATTGGAGTGGACACTGGCTAGTCACTGATGTAACATGGTCATTTTCTGAAAGAAGAAATGGGGTATCTGAGAAGCTAGGTATCTTCTAGGCTCATGCAGCAAGCCAGTGTCTGAACTGGTGTGGGACTGGGACTTTCTGACTTTCAGGCCATCACAAAATCTTCAAGGATTTGGGGAACTCGAATTCCCTGCTTTCTGTTTCAGTCATAGTTAGATCGTGGATTTTTAAAAATAATTATTTGCCTATGTTTTCCATCAGATGTAGTCCCCATAAAATTTCCACCACCAATTCACCCATGCATCATCACCTCAGTCCCTTGTAGAGCGTGGATTATTTTAGAAGCAAGTTGTGGGCAACACCTGTCACCTCTGGGGGCTCATGCCATGGTACAGCGGATGGTTAGTACTGGGCAAGGTGGGGATGGGTCATCAGCTGGGGTCTACATGATGGTTCCACTGCTCCCTAGCTCTGTGACCTCAGGCAGGTTACCTAACCTCTCTTTGCCTCATAGTTCATCACAGGGTTATTGTGGGCATTGAATAAGGCATATTTATGTAGTGTGGATTTGGGTGTTTCCTTGGTAACTAGAGGAGCACCATGCATTTTAGCTGGTATAGTCCATGCACAATAAATATAGGTTGGATCAACAGATAACCCAATTCCTTGAAAAGTGGAGGTTTGGTACTATCTGGGGTCACCGCTGTTCCCTGAAGTATGTGGTAGTGGCAGCTCAGAATGTGCCACACAGAAGACACCATCCAGCACAGAGAGATGACGGCTCATTTATGGTTGTAAGATTTATGGAGCAAAGAGGAGTGGAGAGCAAAGGCTCACTCCATAAATGCTACCACAGGGCTCAGACTTGAATCCCTGTAGCCAAGGTCGGTTCTGTGAAGCCTGAAGGTTACTTTTCATGAGTGTTACAACTTTGTAGAAGAAATCAATTGAGGACCACAAAAGCAACTTAACTTAATTTGCTTCCCCCCATCTTTTAAAATCAAGACAAATAGTAGCCCATTAACCTACCTTAAGAAAAATTACTACAAAAAGCAATCAATGTTAACCAGTAAATCCAACTGATAATACAAGCACACATGATGTCTCTGTGTGTTGTCAGTGAATGAAGATTGACAGTGTGGACATAAGTGAGGGTGAAGGAGGAAGAGAAATATAGAGGGAGAAAGGGGAGGGTGGGGAAGGGCCAGAGAGAGACTGGGAGGGAAGGAGAAAGAGCGGGTTTGTGAACTTTCAGTAATTATTCCACTTAGTATTCACAAAGCAATCCCATACAAGCATTACACTCCTCACTCTCCATACAGGGAAACAGGCTGAGTAGCCGAAGTCCCATCTCCAATGCCACTAGGTCGGAAGTGCCAGGGCCCACTTTGAAAGGCCTGTTTGATTCGAGGTACATGCTTTTTGCTCAAGTCTGTCCTGTTTCCCCCTCTCTGTTCGCTGACTCTTCTGTTTCTTCTTTTCTCACCTCTCTCCCTTACTCTCTTCCCTTTATTACTACCTTCACTCTCTCCTGACCACTGAATGTCATTTTAATCTTGGTTCTTGGCATCTTAGTGTACCTCTTCCAGAGACTTTGGGGTGTAAGTCATATTTCTACAGTCACTCCCTTCTCTGACTTGTGTTGACGGCTCAGTGCTATTTCTTGCATATTCATACCCAGGCTCTAGCTCCTTCCACAGCCTTGTGGCTCTTTATCCCCCCTGCAACATAGGACATGTTTTGGGAGTGGGCTGTGGAGAGGAAGAAAGAATCTGAAGGGGGAGTAGCCTGGTAGAGTGTAATTTTCTTGAATTTTGAAATTTAAAAGTGTGTTCTAATATTGAATTCTGCTTGTTGTTACCGAGAATAAGATGGAAACTCTGCTTTCAGCGTGATGGACGCTCGCCCAGTAAAGACTGTTCTCTTGATGAGGACACAGGACTGGGGGAGGGGTCTGCTGGACATCCCAATGCACAGACCCAGAGGATTCTGAGAGTTGGAAGGGATTTTGATGCAAAATTTTGCTTTTATTTGGGAGGCTGAGATAATTCCAGCATTTTGGCCAATATATCCCCCACCTTCTAAAATCAGCCTCTGAAACTGAAATGTCATCAGAGGCCACTCCCCCACCCCTTCACTTACTAAATGCCCACTTGGCTCCCTGAAGATCATCTCTGAAAGCTGGATCAGGCGATGCTGTGTTCAGGCTCGTGTACCAGTGGCAGGCCTAATGGGATGTGAATGCCAGGGATGATGCATAGTCTTTGACAAAGGGAGTTTTTGAAGCAACGAGCTTGTTCCTTAACTATTGCATGCCCATAGATGATTAGATGTGGCAGGTGGAGGAAGGATATAGAGCAGGATAGCAGGGTGAGCGGCTCATTAAAATGGGGCAGGTTGAGCGCTCCCTGGTGGTGCAAGGGGTTACAGCACAGCGCTATGAAGCTATCACAGCCACTGCAGCAGGAGTTCAATCCCCAGCCCTGGAGGTGATTCACATGGCACAGCAGACTTCTCCTGACCAGCTCCCTGCTCCCCTCAGCAGTAGATCTGCCTGTTCTGCTCCCCACTCTGTCTCCAATAAATCCTCTGGCCTGTACCCTAGTTCTTGTATGTACAAATAAATAAATCTTTTTAAAATAATATAATTTATTTTTACATCATTTTATGCATTTTTTCCATCTCAATAAGTAAATCTTTTAAAAAAATGGGATAAGATTGGAGGTTTTAAAGTTTTAAAATGTAGATGTCTTAGGGTGCTTATCCTGATGAATTGTAAACTACATTGGCAAGGGGTATAAGCAAATAGTCTGTTGCCTTTGTTTGATCTGTCAACATTACAACAGCCCTGATTCAGTACCATGATAAGTACATTTTACAGATGAAGAAACTGAGGCTTAGCAAGGTAACTCACTTAACTAACTTACCCACAGTTTGCCTGGGCATGATGCTAACCTGTTCATGTACTTTTTGCATGCCAGCTGTGCAAGAAGAAAGGCAGAGGAGCCGGGAGCGGGCTGAGAGTGAGGCAGAATGTGCCAGTAGCAGCCATGAGGATATGCCTGTGGAGAGGATTCTAGAAGCTGAACTTGCTGTTGAACCAAAGACAGAATCCTATGGTGACATGAACATGGAGAACTCGGTATGTGCTCTGGAACCTCCACCCACCTCCCATCTCCTGGACGGGACTGGAGATGGAGCAGGGTGTATTGCAACTCCAGAATCATGCCTCAATGTGCTTTTGTTCCTTTCTCAGACAAATGACCCTGTCACCAACATATGCCATGCTGCGGACAAACAGCTTTTCACTCTCGTGGAGTGGGCCAAGCGTATCCCCCACTTCTCAGATCTCACCTTGGAGGACCAGGTCATTCTGCTTCGGGCAGGTAAAGGTTTCCAGGGCACTTGTCTTCTTGGTATAGTCGTTTGGGCTGCCATCTTGAAATTGGAATGGGGTCCCCAAACAAGTGACCATTTGGGCTGTTATCCACCTAAGCAGATGACAACACAAATCTATCTAGGGCTGTTCTTTTTTATTTGTAAGTTCTTCCATTTAGGTGGCCTGCCCCCCCCCCACTTTTACTCCCAAATGAAACGCTGTTAGTTAATGGAGGAATAAAACTCTTTTATTCCATGCCAGTTTCACCATGGCTCTATTATTTGATTTAATTTTCCAAGAGAATTAAGTCATTGTGATTGAGGTTAATCTGAAGTAGTGTCTCATTATTTTCATGCAATTGGAAAATAGAGACCTTCCCATTTCACAGGGGAAGAGACTTCATTCAAGCTTGAGCTAGATTGATTCCAAGGTGCCTTCCTAATTTATGAGTCTTTGTGTTGTGTTCAGTGCTGGGACACTGTGCCATTGACATAAGCCATCTCTCCTTTGTCACCGGACCAATAGGAAGATTGGCTGAGCACTGGGGGCCACTCCACTCATCCCACACCTGTTAGATAATGAGCAGTCACTGAGCGTCAACCAGAAACTACATTCCGTGTCAGGACTACTAGAAAATGCTGAAGAAATAAAAGTGGGCTGACAAGTCCTGGGCAGACACCATGTGGCCTCATCACGTTATCTGCTGTGGCAGCTACCATAGTGATTAGCACCTGTTAACAGTTTGATCCTATTTGTTGATTGATGAGGGTTGGGGGGTAGAGGGAGGAGAGTCCTTTTCCTCAAGTGGCCATGTGGGCGGCGCTGGGAGACTGGGGGTGTGGGCAAAGCCATTAATCAGGAGACCTCAGTCTTATCTTTTGTTTTCTCATTAATTAACTGTGTGGTCTTAGCCAGCTTTAACCTCCCAGGGAATAGTAATAGAATCACTGAACGATTCTCAATGGAGCAAGAATGTGGTAAGTGTCGTCAGGCCCCCTCCGTCTCTCTGCAGGCTGGAATGAGTTGCTGATCGCTTCCTTCTCCCACCGCTCCGTCTCTGTGCAGGATGGCATCCTCCTGGCCACGGGCTTACATGTGCACCGGAGCAGCGCCCACAGCGCCGGAGTTGGCTCCATCTTTGACAGGTGGCTGCTCTGGCGCGTGTGTGTGTAATATATGTGATGCTGATGGATGCATGTGCCTATGGGAACTGGGGTGTGTGTTCTGGGGTGTGGGAGGGACAGCTTAGACAGCTGCTTGTGGCTGGAAGCAAAGACCAGTAAGCACATGAGGTTGTGACCTGGGGAACGAAAGCAGGGTTAAAAGAGATTTACTGGGCCCTCCCTGGTGGTACAACAGGTTAGAACACAGCATGCAAGCTAACAGCAGCTGCTTTAGTGTGAGTTCGATCCCTGACCCCAGAGGTGACCCACATGGCACAGCAGACCTCTCCTGTCTCCCCACTTCTCCCCTCACCCTTGTACTTTATCAGTCTGCCTGTTTTTCTCCCCACTCTGTCTCTGGTGAATCCTCTCACCATCCCCTACATCTCTGGCCTGTACCCCAGTTCTGTATGCATAAATAAATCTTAAAAAAAGAAAGAAAGAAAGAAAGATTTGCTACCCAACGTGGAGCCAAAGGCCAGTGTGGGGCTGGGCAGCTGGGGAAGTTGTCAGATTCCAAAGAAGAGCCTTGTCATAAACATGACCTAGTAAGTTGGGCTTGGGGAGGGTGAACTGCTCTTCCTGGGGGCAGGAATGGGAAGAGGCTCCAGGATGAGCCTACAGCCATGTAGGAGGCAGGAAAGCAGCTGAGGTATTTGCTGGACTCTGTAGCAGCAGGCACTCTGGTGTGTGTGGTCAAAGCAGACCCACCCATCAGGCAGCCAGCAGCCCAGTCTGGGATTTTGTGCTTTAGAGGAAGCTAAAGGAAGAGCCCTGTGGGGTGAGGAGATGAATATAATGAGTGGGGAGTAATGACTTGAGATGGAGGATGGAGAAGTGGAAAGAGGTCAAGATTGAAAATAGCCCCTCTGTCCACTAGCAGGCTCCATGGCCCCTTTCTACTCCATCGTAAAGGATGTTGGCCATGTGCATGTCACCCATGATGCCCCTGCCCTTTGCCATGGCGTGTTTCACACAGACCAACATGATCGTTGGTGGGCTCAGCACCTGTCACGGGGCCAGACAATGCCTGCCTTGCCACAAGCATCACCCTCCGCTGTTCTTCCGGGCTGGGGATGCCCTCACCCTGCTGTGCTGGTGGCATTTCTACTAGTTTCCCAACCCTGAGGCTGCCTCTCCATCCCCCACCCATGTTCTCAGCTTCCTGCTGGGTGTCCCTTGGCCTTTCCTCAGTTACTTATTGACTGCGTTGCTGCATGTTGTTTCCAGGTCTGTTTCTTCAATGAAACCATGAGCCAGTTGAGATCAGGAACTGCAACTTTCTTTCCTCTGAGCACCCCCATACCAGGCTAATGGTCTGGGAAAGCAGGGGGGGTACATGATCATCTCAGTCGCATTCATTTTATCAGCGCTTGACCTGGCCCTCCTGGTTTGCTCACCACCGGCCATTGTTTCCCACAGAGTTCTGACTGAGCTTGTCTCCAAAATGAAAGACATGCAGATGGATAAGTCGGAGCTTGGGTGCCTGCGCGCCATTGTGCTGTTCAACCCAGGTGACCTGTCCCTCCTCTGCGGTCGGCCTTGGGGCCTCTGACATTCTTTGGTTCCCCAGCTCGGCTGAGAGGCAGAAGGCGGTGCCCCGGGGCGGCCAGCGGCCCACTCTTTATGGCCTCTGCTCCTGGAGCCATCTCGCAGAGCCTTGAATGGTGTGGCATGTGCATGTTGGGAGCCGACAGAGGTAGCAGTGAAGGAGGGGGTAGAAAGTGATGAGATTATGGGTATTACTTTGGAGCAAATTCAATGGGATTGGTGTATAGATGTGAAAGAAAGGGGTGTAAAGTATAATGTTCAAGAGTTTTTTGTTTTGTTATCCTGAAACTTGGAAATGGAGTTTTCATTGACACAGATATGAGATCTTAGGCAGGGCAGATAGGAATCAGGACTCAGTCTTAGGCCATTACAGACTGATTGGTCAGTGTCCAAGGGTCGCTGTCCAGGAAGCAATTGTTTTCTGAGTCTGGTGTTGAGAGCAGAAGCCAGGGTGGAGGTGTGCACACAAGCCTGCCTGCCTCGCTCAGATAGGGAAGAGTGACACACACCAGCCTATCCAGGGAGCGTAAAGGTGGGGCAGGGAAGAGGGCCGAGGGCCCACCTACTTTGGAGATGGAGGAGAAAAGGAAAAAGACAGCAAAGGAGTGTGAGGAGAGAACCGGAGGAGTGGTGTCCTGGAGGCCAAGTGGGAAGAGTATTTCCAGGAGACAGTGATGGGTTTTGCCAAAGGTGCATCAAGGGAGATGAGTATTCCAGGGTGCAGAGTAATCCGAGCTCCTGCTTCGTCTCCAGAAGCATTGATGCAGGACATAGGTTGGTTCTCAGCTTGTGCCCGTCTCACCTGTCAGTCCTTGCTTAGCAGGCACTTGGCACTCAATGGAGGTATGAGGCACAATTTTGAGAATTGCTTGGATATAATGAAATTTTCAGCAGTGAGTGCCTTTGACTCCCAAGAGTTTATTGGGAGTTCAGGCACAGAAAGAAGAGCTGAGGACACAAAGAGCTGTCATTGTTTATGCCACCACTGTTCCCTACCCAGCCTGTCTGTGGTGGCACTGGGGGAGGTGGCCAGAATGAATGGACACAGACTCAGTGGAAGGTTTCCACCTCATGCGTGCATCAAGGAGTTCAGTCAGTCATCTCTTGCAGATGCCAAGGGTCTGTCCAACCCCTCTGAGGTGGAGACTCTGCGTGAGAAGGTTTACGCCACCCTGGAGGCCTACACCAAGCAGAAGTATCCAGAACAACCAGGCAGGTGAGGGAGTGCTGGAGAATTGTACTAATAACAATAAATATTCTTATTAATGGTTAATGAATGGCCATGTGCAGGAGGCATGGTCTGGATATTTTCAAATGTTATTTCATCTTCAGAGTAAGCTGAAAGTCACTATGATGTAGGCTCCTTGAAGAGAGCTGTCTTGCTCACTCTTCACCATCAGACCTAAAGCAGTGCCTGACAGATATATTATTTTACATGTTGGATGAACGAGCAAATGATTGCATGTCTGTGGCATCATCAGCTGCAGCTTCTAACAAGTTTCTGAGGCTCAGAAAAGTTACTTGTGCAGTATCACGGGGCTTGTATGGAGTGCACCTGGGATGAGAACCCAGGTCCAGCTCCTTTCACAGAACTAGAGCTTCTCAGCAGGGCTCCCAGCAGAACCCTACAGAAGATGACACTGGCTTTGGTAGCCAGGAATGGTGGCCACTGGTTCCCGAATCTGGGCTTAGGTTCCTCATTTGAAGAGAGGACACTGATCTCTGGTAGAGGTGTTCTCCAGTCATCAAAAAGACATGTCAGTGCTGTTGCCTGGATGAGGGCAGAGTCTGGGGTCCCAGGACAGGTGCTGGGGCTGGCCCCTGCGCGTTCCCTACATGCATCCAGCCTAGCCTGGACAGAAGTGAGCATCTGAGGCTGAGCAGGTACATAAAGGATGTCACTTGGCTCAGCCAAGTGGGTAAGTACTGCGGGCTGCCACCTCTGGTTTGCTGAAACTGCTAGACGGGAATCCTGGAAATACCAGGTTAGGGGAGTTTTCTCAGTGGTTGAGTGCTGCCTCCCAATGGACACTTTTCAGAAGTGCAAATCACAGGGGCTGTCTAGCCAGAAGGCAGAGATGAAAACTCTGTGGGGCAGGGCCTGCGTGCACAAGCGCCCCCCTCCTGCCATCACATTGGCTCCCCCTACACACACACACACACACACACACACTCACACTCCGTCAAAGTTGTGACTCTCCCTTGCTGCCAAGCACAGGAGCCAGGACTGCAGGGCTGTCGCAGACTCTGAGGGGTGTGTCGGTCTACACTGTCTACACTGCTACCTCAGCTCCAGGGGCCAGGATGGACATCACTCTAAGGACAGCCAGGGCCAGAGTGGATAGCACTTGTAAGGACAGGCAGCATTTTGCATATTGTAAAACTGGTATGTTGGTATCAAAAGCTGTATATTCATAGTTCCCCCAGTCTCCTCTGCCTTCTACAGAAGAGCTGTTTCCTCGCTTCACCCCTTCCCCCCTCCTGGTGGGGCTTCTGGGAGCCCTCTGCCAGGGCTTTCCAGCTAGCTCCCTGCCTCCCCCCACCACCCCCAGAAGCGCAACAATCCCTATGGTTGGGAGGTTCCTGTTGGTGTTGACTTCCATCTTTCTATGCGAGGAAGTCATCCCTACCTTCCTAGATGGCGCCTCTTTATTTTCCTTGGAAGCCTCATTTCCTTCAAACTTCATTAGCATAAATGTAGAAGCACACATCTCCCGGGAGTTCCAGTTTGAACCTTCTAGTGAAATAACTAACGTGCTGCTCAGTGGCAGCCCGACCCAACCCGGAGACTCTGGCTGCCATGCTTGGCATCCTCGTGCCTTTTACTGGGAGGTGTCTGTGGCGTTTCCATGCATAACTGTAAGAAGAAGATGTCAAAAGGATTTTGAGCAATGAAGGGCCACAGAGCAGGCTGGAAAATGGACAGGTGGAGGGGTCTAAAAAAGACGTGCAGACTTGAAGCAAGCCCACTCACTGGCCCTTTTACCTGCGTGGCCTCACAGACAGGGTGCTTGTGTGTGTCACACAGGGTGGAGTACCTGTAATGTGTGGGATGAGAACGCTGGGGGGAGGGGCTGCCTCCAACCCGGAACTTCTGCCTGCCCCCAACCTCTCACACCGGGCTTATAGCCCGGCCTCCAACCTGCCCATCTCCCAGGGAAGCTCCCAGCAATTAGCACATGCAGGGGGTGTCCCGCTCTCCTCCGAGTCTTTTGACCAGTTTTCACAGTGCAGATTGGGGTGCAGAGAATGGGGACACCAGCTTGCTGGGGTTGCAGACAGGAATCTCCAGGGGCACCAGGCTCTTCTCCACCATGAACGAGGGCTGAGGACGTGCTGAGACACGTGCACCGGAGTCAAAGGATGCTCCAGGGCCACGCGGCCCACCTCCTCCCTCTGACAGATTCACTAGTCCTCTGGGCTATTCCCGAAGCTCTAGAGGAGCAGGGTTTGTTTCAGCTGCCCTTTAGTGCTCTCTTCTGTCACAGAAGAGTAGAGAAGCCTCCTGCCCGGTGCTGGATGGCTTGTCCCTTGTCCCGGTTCCTAACGCCCTCTGTTCTCTGCAGGTTTGCCAAACTGCTGCTGCGTCTCCCTGCCCTGCGCTCCATTGGCCTGAAATGCCTGGAGCACCTCTTCTTCTTCAAGCTTATTGGGGACACGCCCATCGACACCTTCCTCATGGAGATGTTGGAGACCCCACTGCAGATCACCTGAGCCCCAGCAGCCGCTGCATCCCAGCTGGGACCACCCTGGGCAGGTGTGTGTGGACCCCACCTTGCACACAACCCTCCACTTCCCACCCCGACCCCCTTCCTCTTCCCAAAATGTGATGCTTCTAATAAAGAAACTTTCTACACATGCAACTTTTATAGGTGGAGTTTTGTATAAATGTGGAAGGTAACCTCTGTTTGCAAGGGTTGGGGGCTCATTCTGGAAGTTCTTGGGAAAACTAGCCAAGCCTCTGTACATATTTGGTTTAAATTATTTTTTCACTTGCCATGGAAAGTAAATGGACAAACAATAAAGTAATATATATGATATTGGCACTGCTTGGAGCACGAGGTGTGTTATTGTGCCCGGGGAAATGGTTTCAGATGTGGGAGGGATGGTGTTGGGGTAGAGCCGGAGAATGGGACACACATTCTGGACAAGAAATCCTGCAGCCAAGCTGCACACAGTCCCCCTTATCCAGGGTCTGGCAGGCCCTGGAGAGATGGGAAGAAGCGGTGTCTTTCATAGCCAGTTTTGATTATTTTTCTTCCTATGAATAGTGAGCAGAAAGGAACTTGTGCTGGTTGAGTGTAAGACCAAGAGATGAGATTCTTGGGTTCTGGGGGTTAGTGAGAGATAGCCCCATGAGGGATGGACTTCCTGTCATAACCAGTGACCTGCAAAGGACCAGAGTGTGACAGGTGCATTTTCCGTTCTTATCTTTGCTAATTCTATTCAGCCTGTTTTAAAAGGGGAAGAGAAAAGACCACTCCAGTCTACCTCCTGGTGGACTTAGAGCCTTACTATTTGCTAGACAGGGTGATGGATTCTTTTTAACTGACTCCACAGCCTGTCCAGCCCTTTATTTTCGACTCATCTTCCTGCTGCCTGCAGGAATAGGGCTTAGCAAACACAAACCTATGCTTTAGTGGGTGTCCTTCAGGTGGTAGAGTGTACAACCTAAACAACCACCCATGGCAGTCCTGACCTCCATGCCTGGCCTGGGCCTGCACAGTCAGCCAATAGTCAGGGCCTGTTGTGGATGTGGGAACCGACAACTGGGAAGAATGTTGTAGAAGGCTTGCGGGTGGGTGGCGATTGTTTTGTTTTTCATCAACCAACTCTCAGCAAACCACAGGGATAACTCTTCAGTCCCAATACATCCATGAGTGACCATACAATTCTGGAGAAACTATAATTCTTCATTCCTGGGAATAATTTAGGGATCCCTTAGCCTTAGACATTAAGTAATGAAATGAAAAGTGTAGTTATGATGTTTTTCCCTTTATGAAATTTACATTTATTGTGATTCATAGTAAAACGTTTGGAAGTGGGAGGAAACTAAAATTTAACCATGGGTTCCCGGCCTCTGCCAGCATGACTCACGGGATAGATTGAGTCCCTCACAGGTATCATGGGTCCTCTGGGACCCAAGTCCTGTTCTGACCTTTGATCCTTTCCTCATTGAACTGTAGCTCTTACCTCCAGCTTGATTTCACCACCTACTTAATAGATTTGGCTCTGAAATTGGTTTTCAACCGCTTCCAAAAATCAAATCTACCTTCTGTGAATGACAATTTGCCACCACTGGTATAATTCAGAGGACTGGGGCTCTGGAAGAATTTTCTGCCAAGTGAACTCAAGACTTCAGGCAATAAAACAGTAATGCCTTCCCCCTAGGAGGTCCACCAGGGCCCCTGATGTGGGATTGATTTAGAACTTTGCTAGGGAGTAGGGAGTGGGAGGGAAAGCACTCCCCCTCCCCTTCCCCTTCAGGGCAGGCAGGTGAGGAAGCTGGGAAAGGAGCCTCTGGTAGGTCTGTGGAGAGGAGGGTGGGAGACCAAACTCTTTCCCAGCCAGGGATAAGCAGTTTTCACCTTCTCAGTGGAATACTCCACAGATGTGTCTCTTGTGACAGTATTGACGCAGAACGCCCTCTCTGACCACGCTGAAGGGGCCATGCCCAGGCTGAGGCCGTCAGGGTGGCTCTTCCAGGTCCTGCAGCTGCGGGAACGCTGGACCCTTCCGCTCTGGAGGACACTTGGTGCCAAGACTGCTAGGCATGGGCGCCCTCTGCTGCCAGCTGGCGACATCACATTCACTTCCCAGGCAAGCGGTGTCCCAGAGGCCTGAGAGAAGTAACTGCAGGCCCTCAAAGTGATCACTACAAAACATCTTCCAAGTATTTTTTCTAATGTTGAACATTTTTAAGATTTACTCCTGAGCAACTGTCAGTTGTTAACTATAGTCCCCTCATTCTATACATTATATCCCCAGGACTTTTTTTTTTTAAGCTTACAACTCAAAGTTTTTGGCCACTAAATTTCCTCCTACCTCACTGAGTCAATGATCTTTTAGAAACGTGTTGACATTCTATTCTATGCCCTAAATGGAAGCAGAGGACCACTGGGCTTTTCAGGAAGCTCCTGTGCCCACCTCTGGGGTCTAGTTCTCTGCTCTGTTGGCCAGAGGTGACTGCCAGGAGCTCTGTCTGGCACCCTTACTGCCCAGAGATCCGAGACAAGAGAGACGGACACTCTCCTCTGCCCCTGAGTGGATGCTCACAGTCAGGGTGGTTAGACTGAGTCTGGGGTATGCCATGAGTGGGATGGGAGGAAGGTGACCCTGACTCATGGTCTGAGAGTGTGAAGGGGGAGGGCACCTTCTAAAATGAAAGTGGTTACCAAAGAGGGGGTCTGGTTGTGGGGAGACACAAAGGTGAGTTCCAGAAGCAGTTGCCCACTGCTGCTAATTCAGGCCATCGATCCTGCAGCCTAGTGGCACACATGCCCAGCAAACACTGTGGCTATATCACCTACTCTTACCCTCAGTGTGGGTCCACAAGGCAGTGCCCCAGTGAACTCCACTTTAATTAGGAGGAGAGCAAAAACTCAGGGATGTTATATAAGAAAATCAAGGTCACCTAGCCAGTGAGGGGCAGAACCCAAGCTCAGACTATCATAAATCACAGTACCTCTCAACACTACACTCTGCAAACAAGACAGCTAAGCCCAGGGACAGAGGGCAGCCAGCTCTCTGAAGGCAATAAAGCACCGAGTCTCTCTCTTACGTCTGCCAAAATGCAGAACTGAAAGATAAATCCATACTTAACACTGTCTGTGATTTCTTTCTTGAAATTCCACATTTCCGCTCTGTTCCCAGACACTTCCTCTATGGGAAACACTGACCACCCACTCGGAAGGGCTGATACTTAAGGGGAGGATGCTGTTTGGGGTTGTCTACAATCAGAGATACACTTTATTTGTTTTCCAGTTGAAGAGGGATGGATAGTCTCTCCCAAGTTGCCTGATTCCAAACTGGCTAAGCCACTTCTGTGCAGACTTTCCAAGCAATTTCATCCCTGGGGTAGAAACGGAGCATGGAATGATTTGGGGCAAAAGGACAATTTTGGGATCATTATGAGTGAGTGAAAACAGGAGGTTATAAAGGATGGTGTCTTTCAACCCTTCACTCCGGCGTTCTGTAACCAAAGAATTCTGTCTCCCAGGTTTGGGTGGTGGGAACGTGGTGCTAAGCAGTTGTCCGGAGCTGCTTCTAGAGGCTCAGTAATTGGAAACAGCAATGGCATCAGCTGGGATGCACAAAAGGAAACAGGAAGATTATGCTGGAAATGTGTAAAGAAAAACTGAACAAAATTCAGCAAATATTTCATATCTATTTTAAAAGTCGCTTTCTGCCTTTCAAAATTGCCCTGTCAAATGCCTAATTTAAATAAGTCCTATATGAGGAATGAACTGGAAGGAAAGTTGAAATTTTTTCCATAATGACGAAGAGGCAAAGCCTCTGATTTGGGGGCATGTGGTCAATGGAAGGAGACAGTGTGGTTTGGTAGTAAATCAGGTGACACAACCAGGATGTTAATTTGTCTGCAAAAATGTATTTTGAAATTTGGTCCAGGATGGGATCAGACATGTTCTAATTTCCTCAAAGAGCTTCAAGAGTTGGAGAAAGCCCAGCTATTGTCTGTGACTGAGACACAGGGGCTTCCTGGAGACAGAGAAATGTTTTTTGGAGTGTCCCTTCCAACTCTATGGTTTCTCTGGACCTTTGCATCTTGCAGTGGTGCAAGAACATCAAACATGTGAAGACCACGCTCAGGTACACACACACACACATGCATGCAAAATACACATCATACACATGAACACATGTTCACTCGTGCACGCACAAGCACATACACACGCGAACATATATGCACACTCCTACAGGACACATTCTCACACAGGCACACACAAGTTGTGTGCACACGTACACAAATACACATGGATATATGCACCCAGAAACACACGCATTGTTGTACAAACACCGAAAATACTCTTCAGGCAGTGAGGCTGCCGTGGATGTAGAGGGGAACACAGAGGGCAGAGGAGGAAATAGGATGTTTCCCCACCCTGACCCAAGGGACAGGGCTGGCTTGATTGGTGACTTTTTTACTCACCCGTGAATGCATCTTTCACAGAAACTGCAGACATCATAGCCACTGTTTCCTTTCCTGGGTTCCTTCAGGGCAGATGAAGCCACATGGAAAGTAGGATGCAGATCCCAAGACTTTCATGAGCTGCTCTGTCCTGTTCTTGGGATCATCCTGCAGCAGACGTGGCTGGGGTGTGGCGAACGTCAGTGCATCACATAGGCTGTAAAATCTGGTAAGGGAATTAAAGACGCTCCTCAAACCACAGCTAAGTGTGCTCGCCTGACTGTCCCAAAGCACCAATGCAGACTGAATACACTCTCCAGGGAGTGCTGAATGATGATTGATGGAGATGGGGGCCAAAAATGAGACTTTACTAGGAACTCCAGCGGCCCTGGGAGAGGAGCGACCCAGCCTCCCTAGTGCCAGACAAACGGTGTCTTGTCCGTACCTCTTCTTCTTACCCAGGAGCTTGGCCAAAGCACATGCAGGCCCCCTTAACAGAGAGGGCAAGTGGACCAGGGATTGAGCTTGGACTGGGCTGGCCTTGATGCTCAGCCATAGGAGGGTCATTAGAGAAGTTGAAGAAATTCAACAACAAACATCTAGACACTTATTCTTCATGAAATTTTTACCAAGTCACAGGATGATGTTATTAAAGGATGGCTTTATTTATGCAAAAATAACTGCACATGGGCTTTTAATGGGACATATATATATATTAATCAGAAAAATGATAGGAAGAATGAAGATAGTTAATCACGATTACTTTTGGGAGTGGGATGGAGTTGTAGGCTGTGCTAAAGTACACTTTGACTTGGAACTGCCTTCTCTATTTCTTCTTGTTTTTTTTTTTTTTGTT